AGTAGCTAAGAGAATACGCCATCCCCTTTTCCTTATGAATCAGGGTGAAGTCTCTCTCAGGGAGGAGTGATAGGGAATGGCAAAGGATACACCGACAAAGGAGATTAATCAGAACTGACTTTGACAAGCACTGTGGCAATTGGACAATTAAAACCCCAAATCCCTATAAATGTTCATTAAAACTAATAAAATTTAATAAAATAAAAAAAAGATTCCTAAATAAAACCCTACATGATAACAAACTCATCCCATGTTTACTGAGTAACAGCTATATAACAGGCACTATTTCCTTCTGGAGGTGGAGACAAAAAAGGTGAAATTCCTGTCCACCATAGTCTCATCTCTAGGCCTTCAAAGCCCATTCCCCAGAAATCTGGCCCTCTCACCTTGTGCTCTAACAGAATGCAGGTCAGCACCTGAAGACAGGCATCCACACCCAGAAGTTCCAAGGGAAGGTGCAATGGGAAATCTACTAGGTTAAATCGAGAGGGGTCTGGCAGAGCAAAAGTCAGAGCCGGCTGCAGTTCCTGTGGCAGGACCTCAATGTCTACTCGCTTCTGCCCAGAGACAGGCACAGGGGAGCGCAGCAATCGATAGATCCAGGCCTCGATCTCTCGAAGGTCATGCAGAAGCGCACTTGACTTCTCCTCCACCAGCAGTGATCCAGTGAAGATGCGCCACATGGTGTCCCTGAGGAGCAGACGGCAGGAAAGTGAGCGTCAGCAGTGAACACGCTGCTGCAACCCATGTAACCACAGCGGCGCGCTGAGGACAACCACAGAAATAGTATCATTAGGAAAGCCCACACCACGGGCTCAGATAGGATCAGAGGGTGTGGATAAGGGAAATAAGTACGCTAAGAATGTGTAAATGAAATACCAAATTCCTCAAGTTTACTTCAAGTGCAATTTTGGCAGGAGGTCTAACCATGAAGAAAGTTTTTCCTTGGTAAGAGCATAATTAATAGCATGCTGTTAGCTGCCACTGAGTTGGTCCCTGTCTCATGGTAACCTCACGCATAAAGGATTTACGCTGGCTAATTCTAAGAAGCAGATCACTTGGCCTTTCTTCTCCAGTCCATCTTAATCTGGAAACCTGTTCAGCATCACAGAAACACGGATGTCTCCATTGGCAGAAGGTTGGTGGCTATGCATGAGATGTCTCAGCCAGGAACAGAATTTCATGTCCCGTGATGGGGACACCTACCACTTGGCCACCACTATGTTCAAATAGTGCGGATCTTGCCTAAAGAGGTCTGAAGGACCCCTGGGTGAGGAAGTTCTGTAGGGTCATCACAGACCCACATTTCACCTCGACATACTTTCCCCTCCTTTCTGAGGGCCTATGGCACACCTCACCTTTGTATGCCTCGAGGAATGCCCAGCTTCTTGCCCAGAAGCCGCTCACTACAGCAGTCCACCAGACGTTTGAGGGTGTACAGACACTCTCGGAAGGTAGAGAAGAAGGGATAGTGGCTGAGCACGCACAGGGAGGTCAGGGTACTGTTTCGGGAACGGCTTCCCCCCTTGGCCCGGCATTTGCCCCGAGGAGACTGGTTGACGTCAGGGGTGGAATCTGCGCTGGGAGGCTGCAGGGATGAGCCGCTCTCTGAGCTCTCAGTGCCAGCCTCTTCTGAGGCACTGGTGGCACGGGTGCCTTCCTTCCCACGGGACCCTGTCCCAATCTCTCCCTTTTCCTTAGGCATTCGCTTCTGGAAGGAGCGGTAGAAGTTAACACAGATGCCATAACGCGTGACTCCCGTGTCCTTGTCGGTGAGGGTGAAGACGAAGGAGGTGTCATCTCGCAGACTCATGCGCCGCTGCCGCACGCTCAAGCAGCCCTCTGGCTGGCAGAAGAAAACCACATCTGGGGGCAGGGGAAACTCGGCATGGTCTTCTAGAGGGTAGCGCCGCAGCAGCTCGGGAGTCTGGGCCACACTGTCGCTGCTTGGATGCCTGGAGGATAAAAACCCAAACTCAGCCACAGGAAGGGACAGAAGGCTCGACCCAATTTTAACCACAGTCAACAAATAAAGCTTAATGTGCTATTCTGGGCAAAGGAACCTAACTAACAGGAGGACCTTGGAAAATCAGGGCCGTGAGACATATTCAGATGGTAGGCTAAACGAGTGCCACACTGTCAGGAAGACATCGATTAAAAATGAAAGGAAAATTACAGCAACAAAATTATCACTAACACCTTCAAAGCATTAGCATTTTTCAATGTGTGACCAAAAGAGAGAGCGCATGTAAACAAGCAGCACAATGCACTTCTCCTTTTTACAAAATAAGAAAACTGGAGAATAAAGAGTAAACTGGCTCAAGATCACAAAGGTTCTACTTAAGACAGAGTTCTGCTCAGTCTCTATTGCTTAAAGCCAATATTCTCCACACTCGTGACAATGTTGTTTCCACTGCTGGCGTCAAGGAGGTCATTAGGATAAGCCAGGGGAAGAATGATATATGCAAAACAGCATGGTAATGAGGGAGAGGAATGATTTTGTGGCTATCCAAGATGACAAAACAAACTCGGTCTCTTTGATTACCTGGCCCCAACGATCACTAGATAGTCAAGTAACCGAGGACAGAACTTCTTTTTCTGCACCATGGTTCCAACGCATCAGTTCATCTGAGAGAAATTCAGTGCAGGTGGCCAGTCAACGTTCCCAGAGGGAATTCTGGTATCTGAAAATCTAAAAGAAGGGGAAAAGTACTGATAAGATCCAATACTGCTCCTAAGAGGCTCATCCTTCTCAACTTTCTCTCAGGCAGGGACATAGGCCAGAAGGTTGTCCATTTTAATGCTATAGATAGGCGAACATGACACTCCCCTAGTTCAGAGTTCTATATAGGCTTGCGAGCTTACAGAGTCAAATATCACGATGTAGGATAAATAATGGCTCACCTCCTCATCTCTACAAACAAGCTTCTTTCCAGCCTACCCCTTGGGGTTTTGTTACATGAAAAATAGACGCAGGCTGTCTAATCATAATGACTCAGTCTCTATAACAAAAATTAAGTCATTTACAGGACTGCTTGAGGGTGGATCAGGAACAAACCAGACTCTGACCAGCACCAACCACACTCCCAGGTCTAATGCAAACCTAATTAGTTGCAACATTCTGGATTCAGCTTGATGTGAAGCCACCATAGAGAGTGTGTAATACAGCTAATTGAACTCAGACAATATACAACAGCTGGCTGTTCGACCTCAGACAGCTTCAAAGGAAGAACGTCTATGCTCCAATTACTTCAACGAAACTACTTTTCTTCTTTAAGCAAGAAGGGCCCAGTGGTTACTGCTCCGAGCTCTGCCCTTGGTGCTGAATCATTGTCTTCCTCCTCTATTCTAGTCCCAGGATTGGAATCAGTAACATAATATATACAGATATCTTGCCCCACTGTACCTTTCAGACATAAGAAAGGAGATGCAGAAATAGCAGGATTTCTGCAAAGACTGGGGTGAACTGCTCAGAGAAATAATGTCCATGCTACAGTGATAAAATGAAGAAAAACTTCTAAACTCACAAAACCACACATTCCTTGTCATTAACTGCAACTCACAGTGACCCACAGGCCAGCACAGAAGTGGCCTATGAGGTTTCTACAGCCGTAATCTTCACAGAAGCAGCTCGCCACCTCTTCCTCCTGTGGACTGGCTGGGGGGTTTAAACGGTCAACCTTAGGTTCATCAGCTAAGTGCTTAACCACTGTGCCACCTGGGCCCCTTGGGAAAAGCCTACAGTGTCTTATTTTCTTTCCTGTTGGGTCTCTAGCCACTTCTCTAAATAAAATTATTCGGCTCACTACAGTGTTATTTCCAGTGCTTCCAGGATTCCACCCCTACGCTCTCCACGTGGCCACGCTAGGACCTTGTTCACGGCACACACAGAGAGAATTTCATTAATCTCTCTCTCTCTCTCTCTCTCTCACACACACACACACACACACACACACACACACACACACTCATACTCCACTCCCTTGTTTGCTACCTTGTGTGCTCCCACACAGACAGACAGACACACAGACAAACAGATACACAACCCCTGTGTGCTGAAGGCCCTATTTGAGTAAGATAACGAGTCTAGGTTTTATCTTTTCCTTCCCCTAACAAATAATAAACAAAACCTACTTGCATCATACCCTCCAAGTCCCAAAATGCTGCTCCCTCCTTTCTCTTGCTCCCAACAGAGGACCTTCAGGTAATAGGATTCATTTTTGTCTCCATAGCGACTCTGGCTCCCAGCACTATTTATAGTAGAGTCACAGCCCCTCCCCTGCTTGGTGACCGCACAGTGTTAGCAGCTGCTACCTCAGAAGAGGCCAAAGGCCCGTAAGAATTCATTCTTCTTGAAGCTGGAGAGACCTCTTCTACTGAAAGCACCTGCTCAGAATGGGGCTGTCTTCTCCATCTGTTGCTAGTTTATGCTCGTCCTAATTCTGGCTTTGGGAGCCATTTCCTTACCAAATAAGCAGAACTAAGTCCTAGAAAACATCAGCCAGTACACTTATTTCTAGGTATCACCCCACCATCATGAACCCAAACTTTTAGTTCCCAACTGCTAGAGAGTCATGAGCATACTGCATAAGGTGGGACACAGTGACAGGGCTGAGCCAAGCTCCTCCCAAGACAAATAAGGAGGAATACAGAAAAATGAGACCGAAGACGGGTAAAACCACAGCTCAGTCTATAAAAAATTATATAGAAAATGCCTAGCGCAAGAACCAACAAACCTTGACATAAAACAGAATTTACAGGGCCAGAACTCAAAGCTTAAAATCTATGTCCATATGAAAAAAACCAAAACACCAAAACACCCCAAACCCATTTCCTGCCAAAATCTTAAAGATCACACCTAAAGTATCTCCTACTAATATATTGGGCACCAGGCTGTAAGCTTTGCTGGGATCCCCATCTTTGTCCATCTGATCAAGTTCATGATTTTTATAATAGTTGGTTGGGAGCATTGGTGGCCTAGTCCATAGGGAGTTGTGTTGCTAACCCAGCCACACCTCTCTGGCAGTTGAAATCTACCAGCAACAACTTGGGAGAAAAATCAGCAATCTCCCAATCAATTTACAGCCTCAGAAACCCAACAGAGGGGCAGCTATGAGTCTGTTCCAATTCCAGGGCAATGAGAGAGAAAGATCGCTACTGCTCTCATCTTCCAGACCCACATGAATCCAAAAGATCTTGTAACTAATCTGCTACTCTAAATCCACTGTCTTCAAGTCAATTCTGACTCATAGTGACCCTGTAAGACAGAGAAGAAGGCCCCACAGGATTGCTGAGGCTGTGGGTAGAACAGGGTTGTACTCGACTTCAGGACACCTAACCACAAGTAACAACAGTCTTTATGGAAACAGACTGTCACATCTTTTTCCTCCAGATCATCTTGGGGGTTTAAACCACCAATCTTTCGGTCAGCAGCCAAGCCTCTTAATCACTGTGCTGCGAGGGCTTCTGGCTACTAGTGACAGAATAGATAGGGGGTGGCTGGTCCTAGTCAACAAATTCATATCTCATCAACAACCAATGCCTCCAGTTTTTTAGACTGCAGAGATAACAGGCTTCCTCTCTTGCTGTGTCCCAGCCCTTCCCTTCCCCAAAGACTCTAAATCCTCTACCACCACACCTTCTTCTAACCAGTTTTAGAGTCTCTCTTTTGCCTCCTCAATCCTAATGCTAAAGTCAAGTCCCTATTTTCAATAGATTTCAAAATCACCCAGCTCAAAACCATTCCCATCTCCTGAGATCCCACATTAAGGATTCCACTCCATCAGACGCTGATGTAGGATCCACACACCTGAAAAGCCCCTATGCCTTTTCAGCTTACTTTGCCCATGCCAACCAAACGTTTGGCTCGGTCCCTCGTTTGGGGCAGGATTTCCAAGTAAAACCACAGGAATCGGGGAGCGATCTGACATCTCTGCTGACGTGAGCACAAGAGGAGGCTCTCCCCTCCTCCCTCACCGCGGGCAGTGACCTTGCAAGCGCATCAGCCCCAACTGGTCCAGCGTAGGGGAGAACTGGAGCAAGGAGGCAGGGCAGGAGCAGGGGTGGGGAGGAGGGAAGAGCAGGAATACGGAGAATTCAGATAGGAACGGGGAGGGGGGCAGTTGCAGAAAAGTCTCCCCTCTGCAGCATGCTGTTTTCTCATTTGAAACAGCCAGTGGAAAAAAAAAGAAAATGAAAATGAAAAGCAACTAATCATGGCCTTCCAAATTCTAACCAGAAATAAGGTGCATGCACACGCGCGCTCACCCGCCAGGTGCTGATCCCGGGTCGGGCTCCTGCTGCCCGGCCGCCCGCTCACCCCCACACCTGCTGGACAGCTCTCCCCGCGGCCCCCGGAGCCTGCGCCGCCCGCCTCCCCAGCAGGAACCGAGCCCAGCAGCCGCGGATGGCTCCCAGGCCCGCAGCCAGCACCCAGCTCGGCAGCCCGAGCACCCCCACATCTGGCCCCGCCCCCTTTCTTCATGCACTCCCCCAAATTGCACTCGAGACCCCACGCCCCTTTCCACTTTCGGAAGGTCTCCCTGGAACCGCTTTCTCCCTAGCGTTCGCGTTTATCCTCACAACCTGTTATCCCGTTGAAGCAGCCGGTCCCAAATAACCTACTGGAGTCCCCAGTGGCCCGGATTTCCCTACCTCTTGCACCCCAGGAGAGCAGCCAGGCCCGGACGTGCTCGGGGAGCCTCGCGGCAGGAGCTACCCTGCGTGGCTCCGCTCTGGGGCGGACGCCAGTTCCGTGTCTGCACCGGGGGGGCGCGTACCACTCGCACCGGGCGAGGGAGGAGGAGGCTGATGGGGGGCCGGGGCCGTACCATTCACCCCTGAGGGGTGGAGTGGGCTGCACCAAGCTGAGCCCAGAAGGGTGGAGCCGGGGAGGAAGACTGCTATGCGTACACCTATCCGTGTGTGGGAGTGAGAACGGGATGGGCAGCGCCGGGTCAGCCCAGCGCCGCTGCATGCTAAGGGGAGGACTCAAAGGACTACCTGTTGTTTGGGTTACGCAAGCAGTTTTCAATCTGACGTGGGAACAGAACCCATTCTGACGACACGCTGATGCCTCTGGAAGCGGCTTCTCGAGATAAACTACCCCTAAAATTTTCTGACATTCCCTGATGCCTCACCTCTCCCCCCCACGCGCCAGGTTTGGAACTACCCAATCGCCTCGGCTAGACCGGCGGCTACCCGGGAGGTGGAGCCTACCAACTCAGGGACGGGGGTGTCCGCGGGCTGGCAGGCGGGGCCTCGGGCAACACCTACACTAGACGCGCATCGGGAGTGCCGCGGTGTGCGCTGGGAAACGGAGTCCAGCATCCTGAGAGCCCAGACCACAGCCGTGCTTCCACCTGCTGACCTCAGGGGCCATGTCTTCCCATTCCAGAAGGGCCTAAGGGAGCGTCTAGCAGGCCCTGACCTTTCCTGGTTGTGCCCTAGCCGACAGAAAAACTAAGGTGTTAGCTACACATACAAAGTACAAAATACTTTAACTGAAAACGCAACACTCTTTCCCTGACATATACACCAGGATTCCATTCTAAATCCTTAGGTACCAACATTTCATTTCACCCATTTGGTGCAGGGAATCTTGGTGGCACAGAGGGTCGGGCACTGGGCTGCTAACTTCAAGGATTACAGTTCAAACCTACCAGCACTCTGGGAGAAAGACCAGGAAGTCTAATCCTATAAAGATTCACAGCCTCTGAAACCTATGGGGCAGTTCTACTCCGTCCTATAGGGTCACCACGAGTCTGAACCCACTCTTTGGCAATGGGTATATACCAAACATGGGGCTGGTAAAAGGAGGGTCCCCTCTCATTACAAAGACTGTCACTTGTGACCGTCTCCCTTTTCTGGTTCTGGAGCTAGATCCTAAAGGAGAGCTTTCCTCTCTTCTTCTGTCCCCCACCCTCAACCCAGAAATGGGTTTCTCTCATTCTGTATTCATTTTGGTTTTCCTGTTCTAACAGTGCCATCACTGACGCAGCCTAAGGCATTTATAGCCAAGCCACAGAGAGAAAGAGCCACAGAGAGATAGGGGAGCATTTCTCTTGGGGCCCTGTGAGGAAAGCAGGAAGTGGTAGAGGCAGGATGGGCTGGGCCCTGGAGAACCTTGTGCAATGTGGCCCCCCAGGTTTACCCTTCTGGCTGAGTCAGTGTGGTCTTCACACAGAGCACAGTCATTAGCAGGACCCCCGGTCTCCAGCAGCCACAAAACTCCCAGTCCTTTGATTCTTCTTTAATACCCGATGAGGACCCTCTCCGCACCCTCCTAGCTCCCACCCCCTGGGGAACGTTTGTCTTCCTCAGTCATCTCCATCTCTGTGAGACGGCCACAGGGCCTCAGCCAGGTTCAGAAAACGAAAGGTCTGGGCCAAGAGCAGTCATTCGTGCACATCCCAGATCTCGGAGAGCAGTGGGGGAAGCTTTTTGTCCTGTAGGCGCAGGGCAAACACTTGCTCTGAGTGGACGCTGCTCAGTGTCCGGAGGCTCACCAGTTTCATTAGCATTCGTGGGAACATCAGTCGGTCCTGAGGGAAGGAGTGGACCAGTGAGTACCCTCCTTGTCTCTCTCTAGGGAAGGGGGCAAGGGTGGGGAAGTTGTGGGATAAGCAGAGAAAGATCTGTGTGCACAACGTAGGCAGAGAGGAAATCTTGCAGAGAAGGTGGGTGGTGAGGTGTGTCAAGGAGGAGGCCTGTGGGGGAGGGAACAGGGCGCCATGGGGAGACTCACATGGGGGTGATGGATGGAGACGTAAGCATGCAGGGCCTCCACATATGTGTGTTGCAGCCTCTCTACCTGGAGCTGGTTCTGCACGTTGGGCCTGTCTATAGGTCACCAACAGAGTTGAGGAGCAGGTCTGGCCAGGGTCTTAGTTCCCTACCCCAAATCAAAGCCCCAAAATCGGGACATGCCCCCGCCCAAGCTCTCAAATCCTCACATGCCATCAGGGCCTCCACCCCCACAATGCCTGCTGTGTAGGCCTCAAAGCCTCCTGGGTGCGAGGCCCTTGCTCAGTTTCCCTCCTGCTCCTCCCCCGCACCTGCAGAGAAGATGCTGATGGCGATAAGCAAAGCAAACTCGGCATCATTGAGTTTCAGCTCATTCATGGCTCTGGAGAACTCGAAGATGGGGTTGATGAACTCCACTTGCAGCCCTGGGGAGGAAGAAGGGAGGTTGGGGCAGGTGGCAGGAGCAGCAGGGACTCCCTTTTCTCCTCTAGGTCCTCAGTTCAAGGAACTACCTCACTAAGACATCTCCAAGAATAGAAAACCAGTTTGCTCTGTAAACATTTCTTCAAATATCTCTCTCTCTCTCTCTGTCACACACACACACACACACACACACACACACACACAGAGTTAAAGAAAAAAAGAAATCCAGAGCTTCTTTGAAAGAGAAAGAAAAAAGACATCTCCAGGGTTCTGCTCTGTGACCTGCAATGAGTTTCTAAACCTCTTCAAACCTCATCTGTGAAATGAGAGACATACTGGAATGTCTCATAAGACTGTGGAGATGGTTAAATGACAAAATAAGCAGAGCACTCAAGCGCTGTCCCTGGCACACAATCCCACAGGCAATAAGCCCATTTTAACTCACAGCCTATAGGGTTTTCAAGGCTGGACATCTTCACAGAAGCAGACAGCCTCATCGTTTTCCCCTGGAGTGACTATTGGGTTTAAACAATCAAACTTGTGCTTAGAAATCAAATTCTTTAACTGCTGAACCATCAGCATTTCTTGGCACACAGGAGGCATTGAATCAAATCAGAGTAATAATTCTCTCCTTTTCATTAGAATTTATGAGGGACCTATATCATTAAAAGTACAGACAACTCTTATTTTTTGCTCATAATAATTTTTTTTTTTTGCTGTCAATTGGCACTACTTATTTGAAATATTAAAGATCTATTTCATGTACCATCCTAGAGCACAGCAACGGAGTTACGGGTATAGACCTTGGAGCCAGACTGCCTCCGTTTGCCTCCTGGCCTCACCTCCTAGGAGCTGTGTGTCACCATAGGGAAATTATTTAACCTCTCTAGGCCTTGGTTTTCCCATCTGTAAAATGGAGATAAGATAGTACCTACCTCATAATAGGTTCTCAGAATGTCTAGAACATAGTAATTGCCATGTAATTGTTTGTTGTATATGTGAGTGTAAACTCAAAATCATTGCCACAGTCAGAACTGATTCATAGCTGACCCTCCAGTGGGATTTCAGAGGCTGTAACTTGCACAGGAGGAGACTGCTCATCTTTCTACCTCAGAGCAGCTGTTGGATTTGAACTGCCTACCTCTGGGTTAGCAGCATTAACTCCTTATCCACTATCCCACCAGCGCTCTGTCTGTGTATATGTGTGTGTACAAATTTTTATGGAACCAATCTTCTAATTAAGAAGAAAACTGGTATTCAACACACCATGACCTAAAGTCACAACACCTAGAGAGCCATTCTCCCATCCCATCACCACCAAGCACTGCCATTAAATGGATTCTGATTCATAGCAACCTTCCAGGACAGAGGAGCATTGCCCCATAGGATGCCGTAAATCCTCCCAGAGGAGCAGACCGCCTCTTCTCTCTCCCAATTTTCCACAGACATGCCGTGTGTCTCTCCACCCCACACTGTCCCCTAGGCTTTCTCAAATTTCTCTCAGCAGCCATCTGCTTTACTTTTCCATTCAAGGCTCTTGATTAGTCACTTCCTGTACTTTCACCCTGATGTTTAGCATCAGTGTGTGTTGATCCATCTCGTGGCCAGTCCTCATTTTAGAAAGCATTTCTGGGTGAGCATCTTTTTGCCCCTGTGGGAAGCCCCTTGGCACCAAGAGGAAATGGAGGTTCTCGAGCTGGTTTATGACACTCTGAGGGTCTGCTAATGCTCACCGAAGGAACTCAATGAAATACGATCGTGTCTCCATCACTTCTCAACCACTGCATACAACATATGGCAGTGGATATGGGGGGCGGGGATGGGATGGGGAAGAGACCTGACAAAAACAGAGCTTGAGTTTCTTTCTCAAGATCTCACTGATGAAATAAGAAATGAAAGGCAAACGTGATGATAGCAAAACTGCTTATATAAATAAGTCTATAAATAGGGACAGATTCAGAAAGCACAAGCTAAGTCCACGAGTGCTGGAAGGAAGACAGAAACATTAGAACTGGGGAGGATTTATCAAGGAGAACATTATGAAGGAGAAGGCCATGGTTGAGGGGGACGGGGGTACTGATAATCTGGGGAAGAGGTGATTTGGTAGAAAAATGCAGCAGGGCTGGGCTTTTGAAGCTAAATAAAGTCATGCGCTGCAAAGGGTTTTCTAGACTCTAATCTTTGAAGACACAGATTACCAGGTCTTTGTTCTATGACGTTAATGAGTAAGTTCAGACAACCAACTTTTTGGTCCCAAGACCTTAAAGTCATCATATTACCTCTATGCCTTTGAAGTCAAGAAATCCCGACAGCCCTATTAACTGTGCCCTACAGTTAAAGGAAGATTTCCGAGAAAACACTCCAGGTAGTCTGTATTGGGACAAAAGGCATATGAGCTGACCTGAGCCACCAGAAAGCAGGGCAAGCTCTATGAGATCTGGCCTGGACACCAGGATCTATGAACCCAAGGACGGAGTTGCTAAAAACATTCTGCCATGGAGTCGGTTCCAACTTGGAGCAAGCTTCCGTTAGGTGTGATGTCTGTAAATTAATTGTAAAGGGAGGAAACTGCCCATTTTTCTCCTGAGGAGCTGCTGGTGGATGTTGGATTCAAATTGTCAAAATAGGAGTTTGACTTAGCAGTACAACTGGCTATGTTATATATGTTATATACTGACTGCCACCAGAGCTCAGCACAGATAAATTTTATATACCCATTCACTCCTTGCCAAATTGCTGGTCTCTGCAAAACTCCCTGAGCCTTTCAGCCTTTCCCACCTGTGCATCCGTAACACCCACATTCAAAACCCGGCTGCCAGAGGTCAATGACAATTTTGCTGACCTCATGGGTTTCAGGGTAAACTGTGCTCTGTAAGGGTTTTAAATGGCTGAGTTTTTGAAGGTAGATTGCCAGGCCTTTCTTCTGAGGCACTTTGGGACTTCCAACCTTTCCATAAGTAGCCCAATGCATGAATCACTTGCACCATGTTGTTGTTGTTGTTGTTGTTGTTGTTGTTGATTGCCTTTGAGTCGAGCAGGACTCATAGCGACCCTATGAACAAAAGGTCTGAAGCCATAGAAGTTCATAGAGTTTCCAGAGGCATGTTATTTAGGAAGTGGATGCCACTCCTGCTTCCAAACCTGTCATAGTATATTATTGTTGTTATGTGTCATTGAGTGAGTCGCCTGTGATGCATAGCAACCCTATGTAGAGGAGCTCTGAACCCTTCCCTGTGAACCAGTCTCACAAATTCCGACACACCAACCCCCATCACCCCAGTTACTGCATCAGTGCATCTCATTAGGGATGGGGTCTCCCTCTCCTGCACTGTGCTCTGCTGTACATAGGGTTTTATATTTCAGAAGTGGATGGCCAATCCTTCTTCTAGTCTGTCTTAATTTGGATGTTCACTGTTCCGAACAGGTGAAACACACTTCCCTTACAGAAATAACCAATACATTCACCATCCCCCCACCCCAAGCACATGTGACTTGTCTCTACCCTTTCTATGCTACCTTCCCATTCCTTGCACACCCAGCTACCTGGTCAAGCTCGCCCTTCCCCAGCCACCTCTCAATATGATCACCAGTCACTTCTGTGATGCCTTGCACCATCTAGAACTCCTAATATAAACATTACCAGTAATTAAAATGTGAGGACACCCACCCACCCACACACACACAACTCTATCAGATAGATAGAAGGAATGTGAGCTAACTCTTGGTGGAAATATTCCAGTCCTAGATGGAAGTGTTCCATGGAAGGAAGTAATATTCTCCTTGGAGGAGGGTTAGCGAAAGAGGAAGACTCGCAACCAAATGGACTGACACAGTGACTGCTCAAACTGGTTCAGGTATGTCAGAAATGTGGAGGATGCCACAGGATAGGATAGGGTTCAGATCTGTTGTTCAAAGGGACTCTATGGGCCAGACTCGACTTGACGGCACCTAACAATAAAAGATAGGGCTCATTCTATCATGCTAAAGTCACCCCACCTGAACACCTCTGCAATGTTTCAACTGCAGTCCCATGGCCTATCTGAAAAGGCAACTAAGAAAAAGAAAGGAAAAAAAGGTAGGAGATAATCAGCACAAGGAAGGAGACTTTTTGAGTCTTAACAATCACATGTACGGAGCTCTGGTGGCCTACTGGGAAGAAGCTGCATTGCAATCCTGAAGGCACGCAGTTTGAATCCACTTGCTGCTCCTCAGGAGAAAGATGAGCAGTCTCCTCCCATGTGATTAATTGCTTCTGAAAACCCATTGGAGGGTCTGTTATGGGTCGGTTCTGACTCGATGGTACTGAGCAACGACAAAAATCACTAGAGAAAGATTTGCTTGCTACGGACTAAAACACTTCTGCTCAGTGTTATGGTTTCCTAGTTCTAGAACTTTAGACAAAATAGTATAGAGAAGCACAGTACTGAACACAGGTTTAAGTGGAGCTTCTTGTTTAGGTGAAGTGAGGATAAAGAAGATTTCTGTGCCTCCTGGTTTCTCTTTCCAGGTGACACTTCCATGGAACCTAGAGCGTCCTTGGAATACAGTTGGAGAACCACAGGCCTACTGCACCCGGGGCCAGGGGTTCACTCAGAGCAACTGAAAGGGGCCTTCTGCCTCTCTGCCTTCGAATAACAAGGGGTGCCTTCCTTTCTAGCTGCCTAGACCTTGGGTTCTGGAGGGCTCAGCAATCCCATGACAAAAAAGCACCTGTCCATTCCAACCCAAGCCCTTCGTCATCCCAGCTCTCACCTGCTTTGGCAAAGTCTTCCCGGTTGTAACTGAAATCCTTGAGGAAGGTGATGCTCTCACTCCCAGGGTTGTACCTCCGAGATGTCTCCAGAAGCATCACCTGGACAAATAACAGATCACGAACGGAGCATGGGACGGCTGGTCTGGACAGGTCTATCTCCCTCACTCTCACTTCCGTGGGGACTCAAATTCCCCAAAAGGATGCTTAGAGCCCCCTCCCACAGGCAATCCTACTCTGGTTCTCCCTTCAACCCTCAATCCTCCAGCCACCTCAATGGCAGAGGTCTTCAGCAGGGCAATCTGGTCCTCCCGACTAAGCTGCAGGAAGCCGGGCAGCTGCTTGGCGAAGTCCACAATCTCCTGCACAGAGACGATGGCCAGCTCCGTGAAGTGGGCGAAGCGCTGCTGACGGGCCTCCCGGCTCTGAGGATCCGGCGCCATGGGCCATGGCTAACAGCAACAGCAAGGAGGGAAGAAGAAGAAAGCCATTCTGAGGTGGGTGTTGGGAAGCCACCTGGGCCCGAGCCACCTCTCCCCAGGTCCCTCTGGTACCGTGACTCGGAGCTGATCAGAGAAGGAGCGTCTGTTGCACTGCTGCTGGGCCGCGACCAGCTTCTCGATCATGCCCAGCTGTTCCGGGCTGAGCTGGGGCAGGACCTGCGGAGGGGAGGCCGCCCTCGGAGGCACCGGAGTGGCCTGGGCCTGCTCCTCCTCTTGCCGCTTCAGCTTCTTCAGGCGGATTTGTTCTTCTGACAAGACACCTAAGGATGGTGTCACGTGTGAGAAGCAGGGAGACGGGAAGAGAGGGAGCACGTGTGGGGAGAGGGGGTGGTTTGAGGCCCCAGAAAAGCACAGAGTCAAATCTATTGTGGTCCAGGCAGTTCTGAGTCATACTGACCCTGTTAAGATAAAACAGACCTACCCCCTGTTAAGACAGAATAGAGCTATACGTCCTCTGATTTATATATACACATATATCTCAGTTATTGATCTGATTTATCTATAAAGCTGCTTCTGAAGCTATAAATCTTCATGGGAGCAGGCTGACTTGTCTTTCTCCCATGAAGTGGCAGGTGGGTTTGATCTTCCCACCTTCTGGCTAGCAGCCCAAGGCTTAGTCTACAGTGCCACCAGGGCTCCTAGCCTTTGGGAGTATATCAAGGAATAGATTTTACTCCATTCTTCGGGAACCAAAAGATTAGGAAGCCCCGGCCTGTAGGTTCAGGTTCCAGTCTACCCCCAAAATGTCATCATCATCACCCCCCCAACAAGGTCCCCCCTTTCCCATCAGCTCCTCCCCTCATTCCCGTCTCCAGACACTCACATTCCTCCCGCATGCCAGCCTGGCGGCATTTACGAAACCGACACTCCTGGCACTTGCGCCGCATGTAGGTGTCCATGGGGCAGTGGCCGCCGCTGTGGCAGACGTAGTGCGCCCCCTTGATGACGCTGCGACGGAAGAACCCCTTGCAGCCCTCGCAGCTCAGCACGTTGTAGTGGAAGCCCGAGGCCTTGTCCCCACACACACTGCACAGCTCGTTACCCAGCATTTTGGGGGCTGGTCCCTTTTTCCGTTTTGCTGCACGAAACTCTAAGATACAGGAAGGTGGTTTAGTGTGCCTCCCAAGGTGCCCACTCGGCCACTACCCTGAGCATTCAGTGACCTTCATTCCCTTCAGTATATGCAGTCGCAACCCATTCGTTGCCAATAAGTCAGAATCGGCTCATAGCTGACCCTCGGCAGGTCTTTGAAGAGATAAAATGCGCCAGAGGAAATTGCTCATCTTTCTCCCACCAAACTGCTCGTGAAGTCAAAGGCTAGAGAGGTGTGGTGGCCTCAGATTTAGCAGAGCAAACAGACTAGATCACCAGAGCTCCCTATATGCAATCTAGTCTCTAGTATAAAAACCGCTGTTATGTTGTTGTTACCCTTGAATCCGTTCTGACTCACAGTAACCTTATATGTGTGCAATGTCAGACCGGCTTCATAATGTTTCCAAGGCTAGAACCTTCTAGAAGCAGATAGCCAAGGCTGTCTTTTGAAGAACTTCTGAGTATGTTAAAATCCCTGATCTTTTAACTAGTAGGCAATTTCTTAGCCATTTGTGCCACCTGGGGACTCCTTATTCTAAAAGTAGTAACTCTTGTTTACCAAGTGCCTTTACAGCTTGGGTATTGGACGAGTCCTTTTATATGCAATATGTACTATAATTATTCTATTTTACAGAAAATTAAATTGAGGATCCAAAAAGTTAAATCATTGCTTGATGACCTTGTAGAGACAAAACCCCCAATCTGATCACTCAGGTCTAGTTAATGTCAAGATTTTTTTAACCTAACTGTGATAGTATAGGGTAAAGAGGTCCAAGATACTCCTCCTAGACCAGGGGCCCGTGGCTCCTCCTCACCTGTGGGTTCTGGAGGGATCTTTGTCCTGTGGAGCAGGGCCATGGCTTCTGCAGCCTCCAGCCCCATTCCTGAAGTGCCCGGGGAGGCCTGTGGTGTTCGGGCATCCTCTCTGAGGATGCAGTTGCTGCCTCCTAGCACCTGGCTGCTTGCATCTTGCACATCTGGCTCCCACAGCTCCACTGCAGAGTCTGATCCCCAAAAGAGAGGTATAAAGGGAATCAGTCTGGCCCTGTGCCACCTCCCCAGAATCCTGAGAAGCTGCACACTTAACCCTACCCTTAGAGGGCAGCAGAGTCCCAACTCAGGCTTTGGGACCCCAGAATTGAGGACTACCTATTTGTATTCTCTTGTATCTCAAGACCTCAAATGAGGATAGTAGTTTTTGCTCCCTTAGAGGAGTGACATTAGTGCACCATACATTTCAGAGATCAGATAGGATTCCTGCAAACCAGAGCTGGGTAAAGGTTAGACATGCCAGTGCTTCCCCATCAGCAAGCCCTGATCAAGAAGAGCTGAGCAGGTACTTGCAAGGTCAAGTGCAGGACCCAGGGTAGCGGTGACAGAAAAAGGCAAGCAATACCAAGAAGTTCTCAGGACTGCTCTCTGGGGAAAGGCTGAAGGCAGGTAGTGGGAGGAGGAGGCTGGTTCCTGAGGGTGGAGAGGGCTGGAGTGAAGCAGCTTACCAGGAGATACATCAGGCACAGGCGCTTCCAGCCACAAGGACATCTCTTCCTGGAGCCCTGGACATCACCAAGGGACTGTCCTGCAGGAATGTCCTAGGTTACATCCTTCCAGAGCTGAGCCCCAGTCTAGCTTCAGCCTGTCCTTCGTCAGTACCAACAGCATCAGTTAACGTTTACTTGCCATATATTAGCTCCATGCTTCCCAACACCCTTGAACTTGCAATAGTCATGATTACTATTCTTTAGTCCGTTTTACAGAAAGAGTAAATTGCCATGGTCACATAGTTAGCCAGTGACAGAACTAAGACTCCAATAACAGACCTCTCTGATTTCAAAATCATACCCCCCTTCTTCCCAGCGCCTCCTCCAGCTCATTAGAGAGAGCGGGCACACTGTCCATGTACCAGACTAGTTTGATTTTAGGAAAGGCAGGCTGGGAGCTGCCACACATTTGGGCAGGACCTGAAGATGACGGAGGCTCACCCTTCACTGCTTAGCTTTTAGAGACTCCTCATTGCTACCCTTCCCAAGGTCCCAGCACAAGTATCCAAGGATGTCACTAATTCTCACATAGGTCCCTTTCTCCCAGGTCTTCATGAGTTTCTCTGGGGCCTGAATCGAGTCCTTTCCCAGCCCAGCTTCAGTCACCATCATTGCTCACGTCTCCCCCTTTCTAGGCCCCCACGCTCACCCCGCGGACTCACACACAGAGCCGCCGGCCGTGCACGGGCGCGGACCCACCGAAGGCGCAGGCCACCCGATTCCCGGCCGGGCAGTCTCTGGAGCCCCCTTGCTGGGAGAAGACGCCGGTGCAGCCCCCGATCGCTGGTCACAGAGCTGGAGCCCTGGAGAAGTGGAGGTGGGGACAGGCTGAGAGGAGGGACTGAAGGGTTAGGGCCACCTCTTCTTCCTGTCAGCGGCCCCGGGGGCGCCCCGAGCTCTGCCTCTGCGCCCCCGCCCACCGGGCGCTTCCCCCGCACGCTGACTCCTCCCCGGGCCCCCTCAGCCGGCGGTCGCGCGTGTCCGGCTCCCAGCACGGCCAGAGCCCGGCGCGGCCCTTTGCTGTTCCTCACCCCGCGGCTCTCAGCTGCTCTCACAGGACTGTCGTCCAGGTACCCCTGCCGCGGCCTTGAGTCAGCGTCCCCTCCATAGACACCTTGCGGAGCAAAGGTCCCTGCACGGCCTGGAATTGCGACACTGAGCCCCAGCCTGCTTTCCCAGCCTCCTCCTCCCTTGTCTCTGGGAAGGGGCCAAGGAGCTCTCCCCGCTAGCCCGAGGCTTCAGCCAGCCGGGAAGAACTAAAGGGGTGGAGAGAGGCAGGTGCCCGGCCTTCCAAGAAGTTTGCAAGTGTGCGTGCCCTGCGGGGTTCCACAGACACTGGAGAGGAGAGAGGACTTGGTAGGAAGTCGGCTGTGAGCAATGGCAGGCCTGAGGCGACGGTGGGGTGGCGCCCCAAGTGTGAGCCCAGGATGACCTGGGAAGGTAAACAGGTTCCCTGTTTTGGGCAACAGTAAACTCAGCATTGACTGAGACAAGTATGTTGTCTCACATAACATAGTCCTGACTCGTGAGGATCCGTAAGGTTTTCACTGGCTGATTTTTTGGAAGTAGATCTCCAGGTCTTTCTTCCTAGTCTGGAAGCTCTTCTGAAACCTAGTCAGCATCATAGCAACATGTAAGCCTACAGAGAGAGAGAGAGGAGAGGGAGAGGAGAGAGAGAGAGAGAAAGAGAGAGGAGCAAGCAAGCTCTGGCAGTCTAGTGGGTAAGGAGTTGCGCTGCCAACCTAACTGCACCCAGTTCGAGTCCACTAGCTGCTTGGAAGAAGACTGGACAGTTTCCCCCCGTGTAACTTACAGCCTCTGAAAAGCTATTGGAGTCAGCTATGAGTCAGTTAGCCTCAAATGCACATAACTGACATGGCGGGGGGTGTAGGTGATCATCAGGAGTGTTACCTGGGAATTGAATCCAAGTCTCCCACACAAAAGGCAAGAATTCTGCCACACACAGCCACCAAGGCCTTCCGAGATAACAAGAGCTGTAGCCTTCCTACTCTTCTCCTTGAGACATGTGGACATGAAGGTAGAAGTCATGTTTTGCTTATTTTATCTCCCCCAGAGCACCAAGAATAGGGCCTGGCATAAAGTAGATATTCTGTCCTTGCTAGTTGAATAAGTAAACAAGTTATATAATACAATCTTCCCCTATCTGTCGGCTCCCACCCCAAGCTCTAGTCAATTTCACCTCAACATATTGGTTTAATTGAGCTGTGGTGCTGGAGAACAATGTTGACTACACCATGGACTGCCAGGAGAGCAAACAGTTTCATCCTGGAGAGGGTGAAACCAGGCTGCTCCTTGGAGGCAAGGATTCTGAAGCTCCATCTGACATACTGTGGACATGCTGCAAGGCAGGATCAGTCCTTGGAGAGGGACGTCATGCTTGGTAGAGTTGGAGGGACAGTACAGGAGAGGAAGACCCTTGATGAGATGGATCAATTCAGTCACTGGGGTAATGAGGGTAGGTGTGTCAGAGACAATAAAATTGCCACAGGATAGAGCAGATTTTAGGACTGTTGTACATAGGATCACTAAGTCACAAGCGACTGGACAGCACATAATATACTGGTTTATGGTTGGTCCCTGGGCTCCAATTCTAAGTCAAATCCTGGCCCTTACCATGAACTGATTTTGCCTGAACCAGCTATTTAATGTTTCTGAACCTGTTTTCTAATCTCTAGAACAGGAAGAATAACAATGAGTTTTGCCATATATCATAGCCCAATGTGGCTGGAAATAAGTGTTGCAGAAATGGAAGCAGTTGATCTCTCAGCCATGGGCCTTCCCACCACCTTGCATGTGTATCTTGTTAACCTTCCAAAGGCTCCTTTCTATGCACACATCCTACACCACTCCTTCTGGTCCTCAGAGCGGCCCCAGGAGGGAGGGAGGAGAATAACAGGAGCTCCATCTCACAGAAAAATAAAGTTCACGTGAGAGCCTTGGCCAAGCTGAGCTCCAAGTCAGGTGTCCTCACTCCAGTCCTTGTGCTCCTCCTGTCTCTCATCTTGTTGCCTCTCAGATCTGATGGATAAGTGAAGCACTGAGGTGCAGGAGCCTGGGCAAAGAAGAGGTTTCCAGCACTGCCGATGCCTCAGTACAGATGTGGGCGGCAAGGAGCTAAGGTTACTGCTGGTCATTCACCCCCTGCCCCACTCCCAGTTTCCTGCTCCCAGGCTCTTCCTGTTTTGCTGTGAACTCTAGTTCCCATGGGTCCCACATTAAAGCACTGGAGAACAGGGGGCCAGGGCAGGCAGCCAGACGGTCCAAGACAGAGATGAACAGGACACCAGGGAAGAGAAGAGGGAACAGGGAGAGCGTGTGTTGGGGGGAGGAAGCATGGGGGTGGAACAGAAGGAACAGGATTCAAGAAGGACAAGGAAAACAGAAATAAAAAAAGAACTTGAATAAAGATGGGAGGAAGCACAGGGTGGGGCAAGGGGAACGGGCTGAGGGTTGGGGAACACAGACTTGAAGGCAGCAGGCTGGGTGGTGTTGCAAAATCTGCCCATGTTTTCATTTTCACATTTCAGAAAAGCCCCTCTGATACCCCATCATCTAAAAGTTCTGCCTCTAGCTTTGCTCGTGTTGTCTCATCACAAGGTCCTTCCCGCACTGCCCCATCCTGGCGTGGGCATCTCTGAGTCATGAACACAAGGCTCTCCCTTCCTCTTCCATTTGCTTTTTCTCTAGTTTTCACAAGGCGCCAGCTGTCCTGGGAAAGTGACAACCGGGGACTCTGGCCACTAGGAAACTGGAACTGTTTGTCCCCACACCCACAGCAGGGATTTGCTTCCTCCCTCCTCAGACCTGGTCTTCACACTGGTTTCTTCTAGCATACGTTGACAATGTGCAGGACTCAGAACTAGACACAAGTTGCATCCGGACCGCTCAGACCCAGTTCAGAGCAATTACCGAGCAAGCAGGCATCATGCCTCCAAGCCAAGGAGTGAGCCTCACCTCACGGAGAGAAGGCATTGCCTCCACTGCTTCAGTTGCCCCTTCAGGTTCCACCCGAAGAGGGCACCAGAGAGGACAATGGCAGAAAAGCAAAATGGGTTGAAAATGTCTCCATAGATTTGGAGACCAACCAGAAGACTTCCGCCCCCAAACCAGGGCAAGAGCTCATGTGACCGGCAGCTGGAAGCACATGTTCCCCTTTGCCAGCCCTACCTCCATGGCACAGCCCCATCAACCTACAGGAGGTGTTAGGGCCATAGCCTCTGAGTACCATAAGACTTTTCCTGTTTCCTTGAGTCTCACGGGAAGCAACAGTCCCAGGATGGATCACAAGCCACATTTCTGGCCCCAGGATTTTGGGGCTTCTTATATCAACAAAATGTCATGAAACCAAAACTGAAGTATTCTCCAGCCTATGGTTGCACATGTACAATGGAATAACTGCCTTGAAAACAGTCAAACTCCCATGAAGCCGACCGTAAGGGAAAGTCAGCAAGGAGTTGGGTTTCCTGCTCTTTCCTTCACCATTGGAAAAAGGAGCAAAATGTAGAGGTCATCTTGGAGGCCACTCAAATGACCTCTGCTCAAGACCCAATAACATACAGAGGGAACAATCCAGGAATTGCTGATTCCCAGATATATGAGTTCAGAGATGATATAAAAGTAAGAAAAGAAAAAAGATAAGCACTTATTTAGGCTTGACTCGAAGAATAGGTAGTTGATGTAGCCCGTGGTTCTTTTCCATCACTTGCTATGGCGCTGAGAGCTGGACAGAAGGATGACAGAAGAACTGATGCCTTTCAACTGTGGTGTTGGAAAAGAGTACCGACTATCCCATGGACAGCCAAAAGAACAAACATAATTCAGGGGAAAAGTGCAGCTCCTTGGAGACAAAGATGATAAAAGTTTGTCTCGCATACTTTGGGCATGTTGCTAAGTGGCTGTTCATCAGGACATCATGCTTGACCAGGTGAACTGACACAATGACTGTGGCAATGGGCTCAATTGTGAGGATGTCACAGGATAGGACAGAGTTCAGATCTGTTTTTTTTTTTTTTAGAGTTCAGATCTGTTGTTCATAGGGTCATAATGAGTGCATCTGACCTGAAGGCACCTAACAACAACATAAGAATAGGCAAGGTTTCAGGGAGCTCTGGAGGTCTAGTGGCAAGAAGCTGTGAGGCCATCTCAAAGGTACATGGTTTGAATCCACCACATGCTCCGCTGGAGAAGGAGGGGCAATTTCTTCCCATGCCAGTTGGGTCTAACTCGACAGTACATAACAAGGAAAAAAAAAAATAACAGTGAAGAAGAGGCAAGTTTTCATTTTACCTTTGAATGGCAGTGTTGGTGCATACTGACTATACTATGGACTTCTAGAAAAACAAATGAAATCTGTCTTGGACAAATTATAACCAGCATGCTCTTTAGAAATGAGGATAGTGAGCCTTCATTTTTTTTTAAATTATTACTATCATTATTTGTGATAATGTACTATCAAATCAGATGTGACTGGTACAGGAGATTGTCCCTCCTTCTCCAGCAGAGCATCTGGTGGATTCGAACTGCACACCTCTGGGGTTGCAGTGCAGCTTCTTGCCACTAGGCCACCAGAGCATGCCAAGACTTCATTTCTTACACACTGGACATGATGTTAGGAGGGGCCGGTCTCTGGAGATATCATGCCTCTGTAAAGTAGATTAGTGAAAGAGGATGACCTTCAACCTGATAGAAGACACAACAGGCTCAAACAGTGACAGAGACTGAATTGTGTCCTCCCAAAATATGTGTCATCAAT